GAAAAAAAATCCACTTTGACATTAATAAGCATCGAAGCTGAAAATAAAAGTCAAAGGGATAAATAAAGATTTCTGGACATTTAAAAGTTTTTAAAAGCTAGAAAGGAGAAAAAAAAGAATAGAAGGGCAGGATCTGGAAAAATGGAGGAGCCTGCCTGGAATTAAGGAATGGAACTGTAATTAAAAGGAACTTACAGTGAAATTTTAACAAGATTCCTCAAAGATACGTTTTAATGGAAACTTGGTAACAAAATAATAGAACCACAGGAAGAAAAAGTGGAAAAAAGAAGCAAGTAGAAATGGAATGTGTTTTATTTACACACACACACACACACACATATATATATATATATATATATATATATATTTCTGTTTAAGAATATAGTGTCTATTTTAAGAATGTACCAAGCAGAATTCGATTGGAAGTTATGTATTTTATTGAATGCTATAATTGTAAAGCTATACATTGAAGCTTAAATAAGAGCTTGAATGGATAAAATTAAAGGATATAAAGGTGTCATACTCTAATTGGTAACTACAGGGAAAAATTTGCTTAATAAGAAAAGATAATGTGAAATTGTAACAGGACAGACAAAAGTATAAATATAATGATTTGAATCAAAACAAAGTTGAGAAAAGTAGAAGAGGGGAAAAACTATGTAGAAAATATAAAATGGTAATAAGATATGGAATAGAATATAAAAATGAGCATGAAATTGAGTTTTATGTCTGTATGAAGAAGTGATAACCTGGGACCATGCTATTTTCAAAAAAGATGTTTTATTTGTATTTTGTTTTTGTGAAAACCCAAATAAAATTTTCAAAAAAACAAACAAAACATAGTCACCAAACCGGTAGAATCCCACTGGTTGAATCCCACCACTGAATACAGGACAGTTCTTCCTCTAGAACAGAGGTGTCAAACTCAAGTCCCGTGGGCCAGATTCTGCCCATGGGGTGCTTAGATCTGGCCCATGGGGCCACCCTGGAAACCGCAAAGGACTGGCCCGCAAGGCCTCTGCCAGTGCAGAGCTCCGTTTTCGCTGGCGGAGGGTTGCAGGAGGGTGTTGCAGCCAAAAATGGAGCTCGGGAGCCTGTTTTCACTGGCAGAGCTCTCAGGGCACCACAGGTGCCCCCAACACTAGTGACATTGAGCTGGCCACGCCCACCCCAGCCATCCGAGGTCAAACACAATCCTGATGCGACTTTCAATGAAATTGAGTTTGACCCCTGCTCTAGAAGATCTAGCAGCAAAGGTGAGCTAGTACAAAAATAGCCACTCTTTTAAATCCCTTGGTTTCAAATTGTTTAGATTTTTGTGTAGTAGATCAATGTTTCTCAGCCGCGGCAGCTTTAAGATGTCTGACTTGAATTCCCAGAATTCCTCAGCCAGAATCCATAGTTAATTGCCCATAACCATTAGGGAACCTTTCACAACATTCCACAAGAATCCTTCCACTTTTTATTTAAGGTTATCATTTTGTGTGAAATTAAGATTATTATTTTGTGCAGTCTGACCCATGCAGAATATAGTGCAACTGTGGTGTGGCTTCCAGTGACATAGTGTTTCAAATTGACAGCAGTCAGAAGAAAGGGTTTTATAATCTTTTTGTCCTAGCATTTAGAGTGTGAGGTAGAGGTAATCATCGACTTACAACCATTCAGTGACCATTCAGAGTTGAGGGACTTATCACAGGTACTCACACCTACAACCGTCACATCATCCCTAAGTTACATCATCACTTAAGAAGCTTGGTAACCAGGGGTGGGATTTTTTAACAACCGGTTCTGTGGGCATGGCTTAGTTGGTGGGCATGGCTTGGTGGTCATGTGACTGGCTAGGCATGACCAACACAACATCACTCACATCGAGGCATGCATCTTCTCACCTGGCCTCTCATGATTGTAGGGATGCTGCAACAGTCATAAGTGTGAAAAATGGTCATAAGTCACTTTTTTCAGTGCCCGTGTAACTTTGAATGGTCACTCCACACAAGCAAGGTACCAGCAAAGGAGGGGAAAAAACTCCAGAGACGTTCCTGAGACAGGAAGTCTAGTCCTGCCAAGAATGTAATAAGGGTTAACGGAGAGGCAGTTTCTATAAGCAACACCAGAATGTTTCCTTCCTGCCTTCCTTACAGGATTAGGCCAGTAATTTCTTCTAGCAACTGGTTCTCCGAACTGCTTAGAATGTTAACAACTGGTTCTAGCGAATAGGTGCAAACTGGTAGAATCCCACCCAGTTGGTAACCAACGTCTATTTACAACAATTGCAGCACTCTGGGTTCCCATGTTTGCCATTTGCAATTTTCCCAGCCAGCCTCTGAAAAGCAAAGTCAAAGGGAGAAGTAGATTCACATAATGACTGCATAATTCACTTAACTGCAATGATTCACTAACAACCTTGGCAAAACGTGGTCATAAAACTGGGTGTGACTCATTTAACAACCGCCTTGCTTAGCAACAGAAATTCTGCAATTGTGGCCATAAGTTTATTTTATTTTATTTATTTATTTATTTATTTTGTCAAGCATGTATTAGATAACATGTATAAGTGTAAACATGATGATGAATACATGAAATGGATACGAATAAAAAGGAATGCTAGGACAGGGACGGTAGGCACGTTGGTGTGCTTATGCATGTCCCTTACAGACCCCTTAGGAATTGGGTGAGGTTAACAGCAGACAGTCTAAGGTTAAAGTTTTTGGGATTTGGGGAAGAGTCAGGTCATGTCATGCGCCTGGTGGAGACTGACTCTGAGGGAGAGGAGGAACAGCCAACAGGGAGTGGAAGTGTGGCTCCAGAGGTTGTGGAGGAGGCTGGGGAAGGGCAGAGGCCGTCTGAGCAATCAGAGGAGGACCCAGGCCCATCCCCTAGCCATCCTAGGACACGCAGAGAGGAGAGGATAAGGGAGAGACGTGGTCTACTCAGGAGAGAAGGCCTTGATTCTCTTCATGGGCTGCAGCTGTGACAACTGAGTAAGAAAATAGACATGCTTACAGGCGAGTGCTGGAAACAAAGCATGGAAATATCTCCAGTTTATGGTTCCTCTCTGAGTTTGGCGTCCTTCCCAGTGTGTGTTCTGTTATCTGTGGACATCCTCCAGCCCTTATCTTGCCTGGTTTGTGTTGCTTTTTCCCTCCTTCTTGTAACTGTTTGTGTGGGAGTTTTTTTGTCTTCTGTCAAGGATACTTGGAGCTTGGAAGCAAAGTGAAGGAATAAAAGGGGCTTCACCTGTTTTTTGTGACTGTGTTTGTTTTGTATCACACACTGGGTCATCACAGGTAGTGTATTCCAGACTTTGACCACTGTTGCTGAAGTCATATTTCCTGCAATCGAGTTTGGTGCGGTTTACCTTGAGTTTGTATCTATTGTGTGCTCTTGTATTGTTGTGGTTGAAGCTGAAGTAGTCATTGATGGGTAGGACATTGCAATAGATAATTTTATGTACTATGCTAGGTCGGACCAGAGGCGGCGTAGTTCTAGTCTGTCAGCCTAAAATTTCAAGTCTGGTGGCATAAGGTATTCTGTTGTGGGTAGAGGAGTGGAGGACTCTTACCGTGAAATATCCCTGGACTTTCTCGACTGTGCTAATATCAGATAAGCAATATGGGTTCCAGACAGATGAGCTGTATTCGAGAATTGGTCTAGCAAATGTTTTGTATGCTCTAGTTAGTCATTACAATATTACTGGAGAAAAAGCTATACAGGATTAGGTTAATAACAACTCTTAATGCCTTTTTGACTATGTAGTTGCAGTGGGCTCCAGCACTTAGATCATGAGAGATCTAATAATAAATAATAATCTAAGTTGAGGACTACCTGTATCTCTTCGAATCAGCATGGCTGGCTGGGGAATTCTGGGAGCTGAAATCCACGTATCTTAAAGCTGCCAAAGTCTCAACATCGGTATAGATTATTTAGAATTCTACCTCACCCCAGTCTTTGAGCTGGCAGATAACTCTATGATATGTTTACTGGCGACCTGTCCTGCCACAGGAAAAATCCTGGATGGCGATGTGAAGACATGTTAAATATGAGAATAAAGGGATTGCTTTTGTTTTTCTCCTATCCAAGCAAACTTTACCAGCTGGTAGGTAAACCTCTGCCAAGCATTCTCCTTAACATGGGGTTTGGGGCTAGACTGCAAGGGTGTCAAACTCGCAGGCAGGATGCTTCACACACTGGCCATACCCCACCCCTGTTTTAGCGAAGGGGAGAAAAGTCGCAATACGTCACGTGATGATAACATGACGCCGTGAGTTTGACACCCCTGCGCTAGAGAGAAGGCTAACAGGGACATCAGTCTTAAGAGTCACGATTCTCACGACAGTAGTACGAAACCAAAGCCCATAAAACGAATGCATCTTTTCTTTTTACATATACTGATAGCATATGCACCAAGACAAATTCCTTGTGTGTCTAACCACTGTCAACTCATAAAATATTTCTATGGTCTTTAGAGTTGCCAACATAAAGCGGCGGGGCGGGTGGGTGGAAGAGGTTTGAAAGAGCAGCGAGGCAGCTTGGAAAGTGAAAGTGCATTCCATAAATAGTTTTTCAAAGATAGTAACTAGGTGACTGAAGTTTCTGCTGCGCAAAAATCTTAACTGGAGAACATGATTGATGACTCTTGGCTATGGATGTGTCTCATTGGAGAATATGAATTATGATATACACAGAGGATGCGGGGGAAACCAGGGTCAAGGGTGACAATGAATTATGCATCTCAGAGTCGGCTCCACCCAGGCAGTGCCGGATATGTTAACTCCCAATAAATTCTTTTGAAGTTTTGGAAGTTTGGCTTGAGACTCATGATTTAATTGGGGTAACTGCCAGCCACACTTAGCCAATAAATCATTCATTCATTCATTCATTCATTCATTCAAAACAATCAAAGCAAAAACCCTGGCACTGAAAGGTAGAATTACAAGATGCTCTTTTAAAAAAATCCGTCACTTGTCCCTTTTACATGGACCCATTTCTCCTTTTCTTAGATGGAGTGGTTTATGCTTTAGGTGGAATGGGCGCAGACACGTCCCCACAAGCTCTCCTGCGAATGTATGAACCAGCTAAGGATCATTGGCAGCCTTTGCCATCCATGCCCACACCTTGCTACGGGGCTTCTACTTTCTTGCACGGGAACAAGATCTACGTGATGGGTAAGGATTCAGCCAACAGGGCCTGGCTGTAGATTAGTTGGGTTATACTTAACCTGCAAACTCTGGTCCACAGAAGATTCCCATCTACAGGTAAGGTGGAGGCATCAATCTCCACATTCCAATTACAGGTAGTCCTTGGCTTACAACGGTTTGTTTTTAAGAGTCTGTTCAAAGTTACGTTGGCACTGAAAGAAATGACTTACAATGGCTGCTCACGCTTATGACTCTCGCAGCATTCCCCACAGTCATGGGATCAAAATTTGGGCACATGGCAACTGGCATGTATTTAGGAGGATTGCAGTGTCCTGGGGTCATGCGAATGCCACGGGCAACCTTCCCAGCTAGCTTTCCACAAGCAAAGTCCTTGAAAGAGGCCGGATTTGCTTATTGACCACAGGATTCACTTCACTGCGGTGATTTACTTAGCAACCGTGACCAAAAAAAAGGGCCATGAAATCACTTAACAACCTACTTAGCAACAGGAATGCTGTTCCCAATTCTGGTCTTAAGTCGAGGACCTGTAAATATCAAGAAATTCTCAAATATCATTTTATAAATGCTTGATCCAGAGTTTGTTTTTACCCAGAGGTAGAAATCCAAGGACCTATAATTATTGAGGCCAACAATCAAAGAGACACAAAGAAGAATGCAGGCTTTCAAATTCTCCAGAATTCTTCGAACACAAAGAATTATGAATAAACAGGAAAGGAGCAGGTAGCAGGGAAGTTAGACTTCCTGGCTTCTTTCCTATCCTCTACTTTTTGGAACATCAGGCCCGATGAAAGATTTCTGGAGAAATCTCACAAGCTTGTGGACATTTTTGTGTTCTTTTAGTTGCAACATTTCTTTCATTCATAAACCAACATGGCTGTCATTGTTTTTAATAGGTTAATGCAGGGGTCCCCAAACTTGGCAACTTTAAGACTTGTGGACTTTAAGTTGTGGGCTTCAACTCTTCAAGATGAAGTCCACAAGTCTTAGTTGCCAAGTTTGGAGACCTCTGGGTTAACGGGCCGTATTATCTTTCAGCAAGGAATCACTATAAGATTTTACATCTTCTTTGTGGCTTGATCTTGGGTTATTCGTAGGCAATGGGGTTCTTTGCGGAATGGAAAAGATTTCCATTACAGATGACAGCTTTGGAAATGTTCGCCCACATAGAGGAAAGTAAACAGTGGGGTGTGCAGCTAGGCAGATCTAATCTGAAACTAATCTAATCTTTAAAAAAAGGTCTAAAAACAGGACTCTAAAACTAATCAAATCTAATCTAAAACTAATCAAAGAGAGAACCAACCTAAAACTAAGGAGAAATTTCCAGACAGTGAGAACAATTAACTGCTTGCTTTCAGAAGCTGTGGGTACTTCATCACTGGAGGCTTTTAAAAAGAGACTGGATAGCTTGAGCAGGGGGCTAGACTTGAAGACCTCCAAGGTCCCTTCCAACTCTGTTATTCTATTAATTCTGTTTTTGATCATGGTAAACATTTTAAAGCTGTCCTGAGCTTGGTGGCTCTTGTCTTGTTTTCACAAGATCTTAATTTGCCTGCCTCTAGGACTCTGCCATCAAAGGTATTTTACCTGGCTATAGAATGCAGTAGAAATTGTTACATATTTCTTCAGTTTGCTGCACTTTGCTATACTTCATGAGTGATTTGCAGTCATGGTGTCTCTGATTTCCATAGGAGGAAGACAAGGCAAGCTGCCCGTCACAGCCTTTGAAGCGTTTGATCTGGAAGTGAGAAGCTGGACACGCTACCCCAGCGTGCCCAGTCGGCGTGCCTTTGCCAGCTGTGCCATGGCTGAGGGTTGCTTCTTCAGCTTGGGAGGACTTCAGCAGCCCGGCCCCCATAACTTCTACTCCCGGCCCCACTTTGTCAACACCGTGGAGATGTTTGACTTAGAGGAAGGTAAATTAGAGATGTAGGTGTGCAAATTAAGTGGAAGAATTGTGAATCCTAAATAGACAGAATAAAGGGATAATGGCTGAGCACAGATAGTCCTCAACTTAAGACCACAGTTGAGCCCAAAATTTCTGTGGCTAAGCAAGACAGATGTTAAGTGAGTTTGCCCCATTTCTTGCCATAGTTGTTAAATCACTGCAGTTGTTAATTTATTAATTTACTAATATGGTTAAGTGAATCTGGCTTCCCCATTGACTTTGCTCATCAGAAGATCACAAAAAGTGATCACATAACCCTGAGACATGGCAACTGTCATAAATACAGGCCAAGTGTCCAAATTTGGATCATGTGTCATGCCCCTGTCGGAATCTGATTCGGAGGGGGAGGCTGAGCAGCTGATGGGGTGGGAGTGCGGCTCTGATGGCTGTGGAAGAAACTGGGGTATCAGCTTTAAAATTCAGCTGCCACAAAATTTGGGGGGGGGGGGGAATAGAGGAGTTGAAAAGTTCAAGGTTATTCTGTATGTCTTACTAAGAAATTCCAGTTGCAGTTAATTGGTTCTTGTGATTTATGAAGTGTAGAAGTGGGAGGAGAGAAGCTGGATTCTGTGTAACGCTCGAAAATACTTTCACTTTGGGAAATTGTCTTAGATGTACCAGATCTGTTTCTAAATAAATCATTTGGAGAGAATATGTCTCGGAGTGATTGAGATCATGGATACTTTCTGGATGCCTTACATGGGGAAGGGCAAAGGCCTGCTGGGCAGAGCAGGGGAGAGGTAGAGCAAGGCAGAGGGAATTTGGAGGAAGACCCAGACCCACCCCCTCTTCATCCTAGGGCACGCAGGGAGAAATGGAGAAGGGAGCAACATGAGTTGCGTGGCTTACGGGGGAGGAAAGGGCCCTGATTCCCTTCATTAGCTGCAACTGGGAACACAGTGTTTAAAAAGGGAGTTTGCATACAGCAAAGTTGTTGGGAGCAAATCGTGAATTATCTGGTATCGTCGAGGCTTATATATGTTCCTGGCATCTTCCCAACTGTGTGTGTAGTGTTGTGCTTTCAAGTCTGCAATTCCTTCTCCTGCCCTGTCAAGTTAATTACTGCAGGGTGGTTTGTGTGGATTTTTATTTACAGTTTGTATATACTTTGTTTTCGGACTGAATTTCCTCCACTTAAAGACTCTTCTTGGGAGAGTTTTTTCTCCAGCCGAAGGTAACCTGGACATTGGGGGCAAAGTTGGAGGTATTAAAGGGACATTTCTTGCTTATTTGACAGTGTTGCCTTTGTGCCATGCCCCGGGTCATCACATTTGTGATCATGGGGACGCTGCAAAGGTTGTAAGTGTGAAAAATAAGCCCTCGTTTTTAGTGCCATTGTAACTTCAAACAATCACTAAACGAATGGTTGTAAGTTGGGAACTATCTGTAATCCATAATTTTCGCACACCCGGATGAGAACATGCAGTCACCATCCTGTCAAATTCCATCTTTGAATTCAGGCTTCTTAATAATTATAAATGCCTTTTAATAGCAATAGCAGTAGCACTTAGAGTTATATATCGCTTCACAGTACTTTTACAGCCCTCTCTAAGCGGTTGACAGAGTCAGCCTATTGCCCCCCAAAATCTGGGTCCTCATTTTACCCACCTCGGAAGGATGGAAGGTTGAGTCAACTTTGAGACTGGTGGATTTGAACTGCCAAATTGCAGGCAGCTGATAGTCAGCAGAAGTGACTTGCAGCACAGCAAGTACACTGCGCCACCATGGCTCTTATGTTGTCTCCAAATCAAGTTCAATTCTTGGTGACTTCGTTGATACAATCAGGAGATTTTATTGGCAAATCTGTGAGTAGCTTACCGTTGACCCTGTGGTGGTTACTTGTTCAAGAATTAACCAGATCCACTCCTGCTTAGTTTCCAGACTCAGAAACAGGAGTTCTTGGTGCTTCTATTTGTCAAAACTAACTACGGATAGTTTTCCAGTTGCGATCCCAATTGGGATTGAAATTTTGGTCACTAAGCAATGCAGTCATTAAGCAAATCATCCCACCACCGCCCCCAAATTTACAGTCATTTTTACCATGGTCATTAAGTGGCTCATTGCAGTTAATTGAATCACATGGTTGATAAGTGAATCGTAGGCATTAAGCAAATCCAGATTCCCTAATTGACATGGTTTGTCAGAAGCTGTCTGGGAACCTTACAGATCAGGCTGACATGATTTGCAACCACTGAAAATATGAGCTGATTGCCAAACACCCAGGTACTAAGCTGACAGGAATAGCTAACACCCAAGAAGACTGGGTCATATTTAACAAAATGAAATTCAGTGTAGAGAAAAGTAAAGTCCTACAGTTAGGCAAGAAAAACCAAAAGTATACATATAGACTGGGTGAAACCAGGCTCAATAGTAGGAACTGTGAGAGCGATCTTGGAGTCCTAGTGGACAACCAGCTAAATAGGAGCAAGCAGTGTGCAGCAACAGCCAAAAAAACAGCTAATGCAATCCTAAGTTGTATTTACAGAGGGATACAGTCAAGATCAAGGGAGGTACTAATACCACTCTATAAAGCCTTAGTAAGACCACAAGAGTACTGCATCCAGTTTTGGTCATCACATTATAAAAAAAGATGTTGAGACTCTAGAAAAAGTACAGAGAAGAGCAACCAGGATGATTAGGGGACTGGAGACTAAAACATATGAAGAACGGTTGCAGGAACTGGGCTTGGCTAGTCTAGTGAAGAGAAGGACCAGGGGAGACATGATAGCGGTCTTCCAATATTTGAGGGGCTGCCACAGAGAGGAGGGGGTCAATCTATTTTCTAAAGCACCTGTAGGTCAGACAAGGAATAATGGATGGAAACTGAACAAGGAGAGATTTAACCTGGAAATAAGGAGAAACTTTCTGACAGTGAGAACAATCAACCAATGGAACAGCTTGCCCTCGGAAGTTGTGGGAGCACCATCACTTGAGACTTTCAAAAAGAGATTGGACTGCCATTTGTCAGAAATGGTGTAGGGTCTCCCGCTTGGGCAGGGGATTGGACTAGATGACCTATAAGGTCCCTTCCAACTCTGATTATCTGTTATCTGTTAGTCCCAGGACTCTCTCTCTCTCTGTGTATATGTGATATTTGTGACTTTTTACGAGGCCATTGTAACTTCAAACATCGTTAAATGGATGGTTATAAGTCAAGGACAACCTACAGCCTTTATGATCTTTAGATGAAGCTCAATTCTTTCTCTCTCCAATTTTCCAATTAGGATCTTGGAGTCGGCTAAGCCGAGCCATCCGCATGAGAGACAAAAGGGCTAACTTCGTAGCTGGGCACCTTGGTGGACGTGTGATTGTAGCTGGTGGCCTTGGTGAGTGTTGCTGATCTGGGAATCCTGGCTTAACATGTGTAATGGTTTCCATTGCTGTTCTGAGTTTGGGAATATTTTAGTTCCTTAAAATAAATAAACCCTACTTATCTCATCCAAATACCCCACCCACTTCTTATTTGTCTAAAATACAGGTGTCAAACTTTCAACGTCACATTGTTGTCATGTGACTCATTGTGACTTTTTCCCCCTTTGCTAAAATAGGGATGGGTGTGGCCAGCGCGTGATGTATTTGGCTCATGGGCCGCAAGTTTAACATCCCTGGTCTAAGAGATTCTTACTCATTTTGAAAACCTTTTTTAAAAAAATAAATAAATAAAGTATTTGATTTTGGTAATCAAATGTTTTCCTCTGTCTAATTTTCTATTCCAGCCACAACAGTGTCTCTTATTTTTTGTACCCTATTGTGCAGGGTGTGTTAACAGCTGAGGCACAGCAAATGGTGACTCTGCAGCAAGTTAAAAAAAAACCCTGAAAGTACCATTTTAGTGACATAATGGAGATTTTACACTTTTACACCCTGTTTTAGCATTTGACATCTCTGTTTCAAAGGTCTCAGGAAATTTGCTGGAAAGACTTAGAAGAACTGGAGCTTAGTCTAGGTAATAGAAGGTTTGATGGGACAAATCGGTGACACTCACCGCTGATGAGTTTGTATTTTTCACATTTGATTTATTTTGGAAGAACTGGGTTTACTATCTTTCCAAACAAAGGAGTTAAGCTGTGACCATGAGCATCTGCTTCTAAAACCTTGCCATATACTTTGTGTTATATATTTCATATATTTACCTCTACAAACAGTGATCATAATATCAATAATAACACTACTTGCCATCTTACTTGTGTAGGAATTCAGTTTGATTCGTACATGCGGGAAAGGATATATCCCTTTCCTAGCCTCCTTTAAAGTCTCTGAAAATTTCCAATTATTGTGCACGTGAATACACTGGCTCCAGCGAAGCAAAAGGATAAAATCAGCTACAGTTTCCAACTGAGCATATTTATCAAGGAATCGTGCAGAAAGTATTTCAGAATGTTGCTTCTAAAAATAAAGACTTGGCTGAAATTTAACAGGAGTCAAATCTTTTAAGAGTTGAGGCATCTTGGAATAGCAATAGCCTAAATTTGTTGTACATACTATCCTTTTAGTTGAGCTTTTATAAATTTACACCAGAGAAATCCAACTAAAAGGATCATTATTTTATCAAAGGAGCTTGCAGAGAAAAAACCAACCTTGGACTGCACAGTGTGGCAAATCCATAATCTTAACTCTTATGTTAATTCCTTGGAGAAACAGCGATAGCACTTAGCAAAAGCACTTATACTTATATACCACTTCATAGTGGTATATTGCTCCCAACTATCTGAGTCCTCATTTTATTGAACTTGGAAGGATGGAAGTCTGAGTCAACCTTGAGCCAATCAGGATCAAACCCCTGGCTGTGGGCAAAATTAGCCTGCAAATACTGCATTCTAACCACTGTGCCACCATGGCAGTATTGCAGGTTAAATCTACCCACATTTCACCAAGTCTGCCCACCATTTCACCAAGGAGAATGAAGTTTTTTTTTAAGTAAATGTATTTCAATAGGAATGGTTAGATAATGCCCTAAGAGCAAAATTCAGACTAACTGATCAATACTGGAATTGAATTAGAATTAGAATCCTTTGGACACAAAGAATTTGCCTTGGTGCAAATGCTCTCAGTGTACATAAAAGGAAAGATACATTCGTCAAGAATCATAAGGTACAACACTTAATAATAGTCATAGGATGCAGTAAGGAATCAAATCATACTAGGAAACAGTCAATATAAATCGTAAGGATGCAAGCGACAAAGTTACAGTCACACAGTCACAAATGGGAGGGGGTGGGTGACAAGGAGTGATGAGAAGATTAACAGTAATAGTAGTGCAGACTTTGTAACTAGTTGGACAGTGTTGAGGGAATTACTTGCTTAGCAGAGTGATGGCGTTTGGGAAAAAAATGTTCTTGTGTCTAGTTGTTCTGGTGTACAGTGCTGTATAGCATCATTTTGAGGGAAGGAGTTGAAACAATTTATGTCTGGGATGTGAGGGGTCTATAAATATTTTCACAGCCCTCTTTTTGATTCGTGCTGCTTGTCTGGAGCAACTGAAGCCTGAATAAGAGAGAAAATACTTCCAGGAGGGAGAACTGGAAGACATATTTGGGTTATCTGAACTTTGGGCTGTCCTTGACATAGGAGATAGTATATTCTGGAAATAGTGATGGGGTGTGGTCCTGGATGGTGCACCTTGATGGTGCTCTTTGATCTTGGTGGTTTTCGTGCAGACATTCCATTACCCAACTAGGTAACATCATCGATGCTGTAAATAAATGCTTAATAGTAACAGTATAACAGAGTTGGAAGGCACATCAGAGATCTTCTAGTCCAAGTGGTGAGAGAATTTTTCTTACACCAAGCAAGGAGAATGTTTGGATGTGACCCATGTAGCTTCTGGTTCAGGGGTCTCCAACCTTGGCAACTTTAAGACTTATGGATTTCAACTCCCAGAATTCCTCAGCCAGCAAAGCTGGGAATTGAAGTCCATAAGTCTTAGAGTTGCCAAGGTTGGAGACCCCTGTTCTGGTTGATTCCTTTACAGGTCATGCTCAACTTACAACCATTGGCTTAGTGACTGTTTTAAGGTACAGTGGCACTGAAAAAACTGACTTACAAGCTGGTCCTCACATTTAACAACCATCACAGCATCCCCATGGTCTTGAGATCAAAATTTGAGTGCTTGGGAACCAGCATGTATTTATCACATCATCCCAGGATGCTATTGTTGTAGCATCCTGGGATCATGTGATTGCCATTTGAGACCTTCCGAACAAACTTCCAACAATCAAAGCATCTGGGTTCCAAGTACCCACAGCAAACTTCCTCAAAGAATAGGCAACTTCCTCAAAGAATAGGTTTATTGGATATGTCACATTGGCACAGGGTGGTGAAAACTGACTCTGAATAATCCCACGATTGTCACTTTCTCAAAACAATCAGTCATATGGTCCAATCAGGATACTGTCCAGTTGCTAGGTGACTCCAATCCCCTCTTTCCGAGCACCTGCAGGAATGTCCTTGGTTCCCACTAGAAAGCATTTTGTTTTGGCAACAGCACCCCAACTATCTCTATTTCCCCCTCCCTAGCCCTCTTACTCCAGTGTGTCAGCGCTGAAGTCCCAAAATGGCCTTGGTCAGGCCAGCTTCAGGGCTGACACAAAGTAGGTGGGAAAAGCCATATTTGCTTCCCTACTGTGTCGTTCGGTTAACAACTGAATGTTTAGTAACCGTGGAAAAAAAAGGTTATGACATCAAATGCAACTCATTTAACAACTGCCTAGCTAGGCAATGAAAATTATGTTCCCAATTGTAGTTGTAAGTTGAGGAATAACTGCATATAGCTAACATGAAGTTGAGGTTGAATAATAGGTCAAGTTATTCTTGGATGTGCAGTAGTGCAAATGTTGTTTCTGATGGATTTCTTTGTTTGGAGACATGTTCTACAAAAGAGGGAAAGGGCTGGGCTTGTCAATCAAGGTGATAACTGAGACTGGATTCTGGTGTTGTGGCCCTGTTGCTTGAAAATCAGAGGAGTAATACACCTGTGTAAACACAGAGGCTAATGCAGTGTTGCTCACAACATTTCTTTAATGATTAGAGGTTTTGCAAGTATTCTTTTCCAGTAATCAAGAGAATTATATAACTAGTTGTCCTGAAATGGCTTGACTGTGTTTTTATGTAGATTTAAAAGGGGGGGGGCATTTTTTTCAGCTGGATCAGCAAACACCATGGCAGAATCAGTTAGGTGAAAACTAGGTCACTGGACAAATAAGGTACAAAATATCTGGATGCAAACTTATTTGGAAGGATGAGAAAAGATGTTGTTACTCAAGGTGGACGTAAGACCAGGCCTTGGAGAGCGGAGCAGGTGCTTCCTCCTTCTCCTGTGTGTCACTTCTGCAATCCATTATTTCTAACAACATTTTTTTTCCCTTGAGGAAAACTATTAAGAAATTGGTTGGGCAAAAGCTAGAGAAGGGCAGAGGCGGTAGATGGCTTCAGGGAAAAACAAGGTGGATTAGGAGCAAAACCATTATTTTTCCTCTGTTGATGCCGACCATCGCAACGATATGATGCAGCAAAGGCCCAGCCATTCCATTTTACTCCTGTTTTTCAGCATGCATTGACCTTATTGCATTCAACACAAGTCAGAAGGTCTCATCCCACCTGGCGTTCTGCCAGCAGCGTTATTTATTTATTTGTTTGTTTATTGATTTGATTTGTCAATCGCTTGCAAGATAATAGGTATAAGTATAAACATGAGTAAGAATACAGGAAAATAGGTACGAATAAATGGGGACAATAGGACAGGGATGGTAGGCACTTATGCATGCCCCTTATAGACCTCTTAGGAATGGGCTGAGGTCAATAGTGGAAAGTTTAAGGTTAAAGGAGTGGGGGGTTAGAGGATGTAACAACAGAGTCAGGTAGCTCATTCCAGACATTGACCACTCTGTTTCTGAGAAAAAGCAGGTTTGGAATATGTGCCGTGCTGAACATTGCCTGGTAAGAGATATGTTATGCAGGCAAAATATTCTGGCACATCCAATGAACTAAGCTCAAGCATCTGGGCTACAAACAAGTCCAAGGATGCCACCAGACTTGAAATTCTAGATCTGAAAAACCTAGAAATGCACCACCTTCGGTCCGATCTAAGTATAGTATATAAAATCATAAAATTATATAGTATATAAAGTCCTACCTGTCAATGAATACTCCAGCTTCAACCACAACAATACAAGAGCACACAATAGATACAAACTCAAGGTTAACTGCACCAAACTTGACTGCAGGAAATACGACTTCAGCAACAGAGTGGTCAATGTCTGGAATACTCTACCTGACTCTGTGGTATCTTCCCCAAACCCCAAAAACTTTAACCTTAGACTGTCTACTTTTGACCTCACCCCTTTCCTAAGAGGTCTGTAGGGGGCGTGCATAAGCGCACCAACGTGCCTACTGTCCCTGTCCTATTGTTTCTTTTTATTTCTCTTATATGTATTAATTTCATGTATTTATAACTATGTTTATACTTATACCTGTTATCTTATAATTGCTTGACAAATAAAATAAATAAATAAAAGAAAAGAAAAGAGAAGAAAAGAAAAGAATAGCAGGCAACAGAAGTGGGAGAGCCAACTCCTTGTATAACTTATGGGAGTTTTCCAGAACCATTCATGAGGAACATAAAACATGGGGTCATATATAATATTTCAAGACTAGAATAAAAAAAATAAATGAAGATAAGAGTCTTGTTTTGCTACACTTTAGCCACCTTTTCAGGTAATAAATAGAATTAATAAGGTAAATAACATCTGTCTCCAACAAACTTTGTGAGTATGCCTTGTGGCGTTTGTGTTTTTTTAAATGTATTTATACCTCTTGCCAAAGGGTAAGACTAATTGGCTTGAAAATGAGTTCCCTTGACTTCTTAAAGATTTGTCTGCTTTATTTGGGGTAGGGGTAGGGGCAGGTTTTTTTTTCAGGTTGAAGGCCACACTTGACACAGAAATGCATATATTCATACAATAAAACATATTTCAGGTCAGTAGCTGACACCAGGACAGTCTCTAAAATGGATAAAACTTAATTTCCCCTTATACTAAGTCAAAGCGATGATTTGTGTTATTCCACTTTCCTTCTTTTGAACAGAAAGGGATCAAAGTGGTGGTACAGATTATTTTATTTTACCATCTTCTATGGTATCATCTATCCTGTTTAGAGTCGAAGGTGAGCAGAAAAGCATATAATAATATTTTGTGTGAACAGGTCTTATGATGAGCCCAAGCAACAATTAGTTGGTCTGTCTTTCCCTTGAAATGGACAGTGCCTCTACTTGTCATCTCTGCTCTCCTCTTTGCCCTTCCGCCTATGTGTAACTGAGTTCCTTCTGCACCTTTGTTAGACTAGTGTCGTAACTTCTGTTGTAGAGTTTGGCAATGATACTTCATCTGGATGTTGTGTGATGGATAGCCCTGGGTCTTCCTTTGGTCCTGAACCTGTAGCTTATTTCCTGCCCCAATCCCCTGTTGCAATAACCCCCTTTTTATGTAAAGGAAATATAGATAATTTTGTTCTTCATTTCCACAATGAAAATATCTCCTATAAACTGTGGAGACTTACCCTCATAGCAGAACTGCTGTGGGTAACTTCTGTTCCTGCTGAAAATGACTTCAAACAGTATATTTTTCTTTGGCTTTCTTGACCTTTAAAAAATTCTATATTAAATGGCTTAACATCTACATATAAAATATAAGCACTCTCTATATGAAATAAATCCAAAAAGGTCTGATTTGAAACAGAAGTTAGAAAGTCTGCAGCCTGAATCCCTTGGCACTACCTCACTGGCTTTCATGGAGAAATTACAGCAGGCATTGCCGGTGGCATTGGCAATGTGACCTACTGTGAGAAAGTAGAACCCAGATCTCTCTTCACAGTTTCTGGCTTTAAATTTTGGCCCCAGGCTTGCAGAAATCTCTCGTGTTCAAAAGCACCACGCATCCTGTCAAATCCTTTGCTTCAGCAGCAAGACATGCCTGGCAGTAGATCCTGGGAGATGTTTGGCTTGGTAGAAGTCCATTGCACGATTCTCTTTTAATTAACAGAGCGTGCGATTTCGATGCCTTCGGTGTGTGGCACTGCAGTCGGGAGACAAATGCCAGCCGAGTCTCCGTTGAGTAAAGGAAATTGCCGTTCAGTTCACCCATCTTTCTCTCTCCTCCTTCTTCTAGGGAATCAGTCAAGTGCTCTGGAATCTACAGAAGGATTTAATCTGGCTAAGAAGAAATGGGAACTATTGCCCACCATGCCTACCGGGCGCTGCTCTTGTGCTACTTTGGAGGCACCCAACCTGCTGTTTGTGATTGGAGGGGTGGCTCAAGGCCCCAGCAGTGCAGTGGAGGCCCTGAGCTTACAGGAAGAGGTCTGATTGAACCTTTCTTATGAAAAGGTCTCTGCCCCACCCCTTACAGCGTGCACCAAGAGGACTCAAAAGTGCCTGTTGATGACAGCATTAAGCATACGAGGAAGGAGCGGCGAGAAGAGCTTTATGGCCAGCGTGGAGGCCTGCTGCTGCAATGATTTTTCCTTTGGCCATTCTGCAAATAACTCATTTCATCTCTGCAAAGCATCAAGTAGCTCAGAGACCAGAGCCGTCTGTTCTGTAGGCGAGGCAAAGGGTCAAGCAGTTTAGCGGCTCTGACTGCCAGGGAACAAAGTAAGCTGGTTCTTTTGATGGGGCAGCTGCGATTTCTTCGGGTAGCTTTCCAAAGGAACAGGATTGGGAATTTAGGTTGGCCTGGGTGAACTTTGAAGCGGCTGCGTGATTGCCTCTTCATAAGCAAAACTCTCCAATTCTACTCTCTTCCTTTCGGTTATTCACTTATATTCCACTGCAATAGAATATAAAGCCAATACACCACAATAATACTGTCATTTTTTTAAATTTTATTTTATTTTTGGCTTTGTTGAAGCTCTCTAGCTTGAAGATCTTCCCTCCCCTTTCTATGTGGCTCAGCTACTCTGCAGCTTGTCATTGCCGCATTAGTAAGACTCAGATATAGCATCCCACTATTAATTGTCCAAGGAAAAAAGGATAAGAGACGACTTGAGTTTGGGATGCAATTAAGTCATCACAAAGCTCGGGACACAGCTTCACCCGCCTTCTCGTCAAGCCTGTTTGGCAGCATAGATTGTTTCTTATTTATGAAAAGGCAGCCGCGTTCCTTCAGCTGGGTCTGGGGAAGAGTAACCGGAAGTGCTGTCCCCGTGGAGCAGGTACTCCAGTATGTCTGCTTCAAGTTGTGATTGCTATCCTTGTGCTGATGCCTCTCCTGCTGCCTAGCTGAGTTGACTGTAGGACTCTGGGGGGCAGCCATTGCACCCCACGTGGTATGTTCCTAACTCTCTCTGTGTCTCATGTAGCACATAAGGTGCCCTCTAGTTCAGTGCCTAGGAGGTGGTATAGCACCTCATGCCAATAAAATCTGGAATTTCACCCCCCCTGACATCCTGTCTCATTCAGTGTCGGGTTATATCCTCATTCAGTGTTGGATTAGACATTAGCACTAGTGTCTATACTGTATTACAAGCTCTCCATTTTTATCATTATTAAATGCTCAACTGCATTCTCTAGACCAGAAGGGGACAATTTGTGACCTTTAGACGGTGGATCGTAGCTCCAAAACTGTTCCGATTGGCCTGCATTTTTGATTCATGCTCACCTTTATCCAAAAACCAGCCTATTCTCATCAAAAGATGAAACAATTTGTTAAAAGTGTTCAGATGAACATATGGATATGATTGTAACACTCTGGTCACAAACACAGGTTCGTGATCATCCACATTGTATAGCCATGCCTGTTTAGCAGCCTAGATTGTTTGGCAGCTGGAAAGCTGACAAGCTCAGCGTCTTTAAGTTGTATCTTGTATCTTTTATGTATACTGAGAGCATTTGCACCAAGACAAATTCCTTGTGTGTCCAATCACACTTGGCCAATAAAGAATTCTATTCTATTCTAAAAATTTAACCACTGAGCCATCCTGCCGATGGGGTATGCTCCCGTTACTTCCCTCAGTTCCTGCCCACCTACCAGTTCGAAAGCATGCAACATGCGAGTAGATAAATAGGTACTACTTTGGAAGGAAGGTAACAGCGTTCCATGTGCCTCTGCATATAGTCATGCCTGCCACAAGACCATGGACGCGTCTTCTGATAACGCTGCCTCTCTTGGCTAAGAAAGGGAGGTAAGCACTGCCCCTTAGAGTTGGGCATGACTGGACAAGGGAAACCTTTACCTTTTATGTACTTGTAAAGAACTAGAGAAAGAACACACTGAGAAGGGATCTGTGTACGTCTTCCATGTACACAGATCCCTTCTCAGTATGTTCTTTCTCTAGTTCTGACTTTCGAGCGTTCAAGAAAGGTCAGAGGTGGGCCACAGTTACCGGAGGAGGATGTTCAAATGAAGTGATCTCCCATTCTAAAACCTCATATTTCCAAAAAAAAAATGCAGAGAGGCTTCTAAACATATTGAAGTCATGGGACTCCCTAAAACTGAGATGGCTAGTCTTGAGTAAGCAGAAAACTACGGCTGTGAAATTTGCTATCCCTATTGCCAATACTAATCTTGCTTCTATTCCTAGCTGCTATATAACAGCGCCAAGTTAACTGTACTCTCTCTGGCATTAAGCCGAGGTAATTTTGAGGCTGCCCTTAGAGGATGTAAGAATAAGACAACCTAAAGCTTTTCTTCATTATAGAGGCTGGGAGTAAAATACAGTATCACAGACACACAGTAGAAAAGAAATGTCATTGAGATATGTTTGTATTGTATCTAGGTCCAAGATGACAAAGGCCCTTAAAATCATACTGAAAGAGCTAAGATGCGCAGATATATAACAGCTTACTAGAACTGCATTTTAGGAAACCTATGATTGAGAATGAAAATGTGGCCAGCCAGGAAGCTTTAGAGTCATTGCAACACTGAGATCGGTGTCTATGAAGAATCTCAGTCCTCTAGATCATGGTGAAATGATCTAGATCATCCAGATCAGCGGTCGCCAACTGGTGGGCCGTGAGAAAATTTTGGTGGACCGCAGAGAAATCTCACCCCGAGAGCAACCCCCCAAAGCAATTAATCCAGGCTACGCAGAAACACAAGGCTGCACCATCCACATGGCCCGCAGGAACGTTCCCCGCCCACCCACTCCTTACCCGGCAAACTTGACTGCTAAAATTGCTATTTTTCCTTTTTCTAACCATCATCTGTTCTGCTGTGCTGGGAGATTTAGATTAGCTAGGAAGCAGGAAACGGTTGGATTTCTTGCTTTCTAGCTAGTCTTTAGATTTTCGGCTCTGCTTTTAAGCACAGACGAACTTCCCTTAGGACTGAAGGTTCTGTTATTCAGTGCAGACTCACGGCAAGCAAATTTGAGAGACTGAGCTACCCGATGGCAGATAGATAGATCACTGAATGATTCGGTGAGCAACTCAATCTGCCTGCCTGCTTTGCCTGATTTTGGGTCAAAGTTGCTCTTTTTTTAATAAAAAATTCAATATTTACCTACATGGTGTGTTGTGAGTTAATTTTGTGAGTTTGCTTGCTAGCAAATTTTATGTGACAGACTGAGCTAGCCGATGGCAGATAGGAAGATTTCTGAATGTGATTCTGTGAGCAACTCAATCTGCCTGCCTGCTTTGCCTGATTTTGGGTAAAAGTTGCTCTTTTTTAATAAAAAATTCAATATTTATATAAATATTTATAATATTTACATACAAGCCATGCCCAGCCAGTCACATGACCGCCAAGCCACACCCACAAATTAGGCCACATCCACAGAACTGGTTAGTGGTCCCTGGGATTTAAAATTATGAGTTTGGTGGTCCCTGAGGTCCAAAAGGTTGGCGACCCCTGATCTAGATCATCAGAAGCTAAATGTCTTCAAAGAAAAAACAGAAAGTTCAGCTACCTCTTTGAAAAAGCACCTTTGGGACTGAGATGGGGGCATATAATTTAACAAATAAATGAATTAGAAAGCAGGCTACCAAAGTCCATCTTAAGCTTGAAGCCAACCTTGAAACTAATGGCTACTTGTTTTGGTTTTCACTTCTTTAAGGATTTGGACCCCAAACACTCCATTCAAAATACAGCACAATTTTGGCTATACACAATTCATACCCAATAGCATATGAACTTATTACCAGCAATCATTAGACCTTAAATATAATAATCGAACAGATTAGATCATATTGTATCACCTGTTAATAATACCTCATAAATGTGGGTCTTGGGATTGGGTATATTTCTGTCATGGCACAAGCATGGATTACAAGATATTGCTATTAATATCTCCTTAATTTCCAATTTAAAATTATAATGTTAAGGAGAGAAGAATCCAATACCTCAAAATAATGGTGGCGTACAAAAGTGTAATGCATTCCAAAGGTTATGAATACGGGACATTTTCCAACCAAGAGTCGGCTGAGTTAAAATGCAGTTTAAAATGTGTGATTATTATCCATCTATTCAGTTGTCATACGAAAAGTTAAAAGTCACTAATTATAGATCTAGAAGAAAGTCATTTTTGAAGTCACTAATGATAGTTATTAGAAGAAGTTTCTCTTTCCCAAACTTTGATGATCGTTCTTCTTGCCTGCTACTTTTCCTGAATGCTTTCCTTACCCAGTTCCCCTGCCCTAACAACTCTATTTCAATTGCTTATTTAGAAATACAAGATGATGACATTATATGCTACAAATAAACTTCAACAAGCTGAACAAGCTTAATGGAAATATTTTTTTTTTCAAAAAAAAACAGCAACAAAGCACACTTCCTTTGTTAGATAAATTATCCAAGGAAGCGTGCTTGAAAACATAATACATAACACATAAAACTGACAAGACACTTTCTGTTGACTTTCATAGCAAATATTTTACCTTGGCAGAACTTGACCGTGAGCTACAAAATATTCTCCACTGTGGCAAAAACTCTGCAGTCCAGCAAGCTTTTATTCATTTTTCTCTCACTTTTAGCATTTACAAAAGAGCATTTCATTTTCCTCAGTAAAATGAACAGAACCTATTGGATGTGCAATCAACAATTGTGCCAGTACAAACAGTCAGAAACTGTCAGTCGGGGTGGAAGGAGAAATGCAGAACGCTTAGAAACAGATGCTGGAGTGACATCTTCTGCAGCCGTTGTGTTGTCTGTTGCCGTGACCTCGCTGGAGGCAGGAGCTGGAGGATCATTGGAGGCAAGAGTGCAAGGCTCACTGGAGGCAGGAACAGTAGGCTCGGGATCTTTTGGTTTGGGATCCTTGGCCAACTGCTGCTCTTGCAGTATGCTTGGGTTAGGTTGAGGCAAACAGTAGCTGTGGAAGGTATGTTGGTAGGTGGTGCTGGGTGTGCGTTGTACAGGTTGCTTCTGAAAGTACTGTTCGGTTAAGAGCTGGGGAATCTTCCCTTTGGAGTGGAAATCGCACTGATAACTCGAGAGAAGGGGCCTATCACGTTCTAATTCCTCTTTCAAGGGGACCCAGTCAATCAAGGACCGGGTGTTGGGAAGACTCCCTTCTATTTTTCTTCTCCCTAAGCCCTGCCATAAAACAAGGAGAATCTGTTCAGACTTGCGTTGGTGAAACAAGTTGACCAATCAGTTTAATCCAAAAATAAAAAAAAGAAAGGATACCAGTTACCAAAGATGAAGATGGGTCAAGTTGTGGAGACCATGGAAAAGTGCCTCTACAACAGGGATGGGCGACTACAGACTTCATAAGAGTTCATATAGTGACCAAAGTTACAAAGGCACCGAAAAAAGTGGCTTCACACTTACAACAGCTGCAGCATGCTCATGGTCACGTGATCAGAATGGCAACTGTCTTGGTGTCCCCGGGGGGGGGGGGTGTCACGTGATCACCTTTTGCGTCCTTCTCCCAATGTCTGTGGAGATTCTCCATCATCCAGGTCATGGTTGTCCCAAAGGCGCTTTTTCAGGAGGCAAATGGACTTTCTGGTTTTCCATTGAAGATGTTTCACTTCCCATCCGAGAAGCTTCTTTAGCTCTCAGAGCATCTCATCCTTGTGAGATGAAGAAGTTTCTTGGATGAGAAGCGAAACATCTTCTAAGAAAAACCAGAAAGTCTTGTGAAAAAGCACTTTTGGGGCGACCTGTCAAGCAAAGTCAAGGAAGAAGCCAGATTCACTTAACAACTGTGGCAAGAAAAGATGTAAAATGGGCAAAAACTGCTGCTTTTACAAGGACATCCAACTGGTGATAGCAGTTCCTGAGAGAATCCAAGAAGCTGCTGAAGAAAGGTTAGTGATGCAAGGATTTTTCAAGAAATAACCAAGCACTAAATTTACTACTTTCTGTTTGCTACATAAGAAACATGAGATTTCCCCTTCACCCTCCTTGTAAATATACTCACCTGCTCAAAACAGGTAGCTGATCCTGAGAAGGCATGTCG